GTTTGTATAAAATATTGTTCAGTTACAGAAATATTTTGTCTTTTATTCAAAAGAAGATTGTAAATTTTTCAAAATATATTTACCTACCCCAAAAAAAGATTAACAAAACCAGTTAGTCATATACACATTTTATATATATTTATAGAGGTACTTTTTAAATAACTTTCAATGCATTCGAAATCTGTGGTTTTATTAAACTCAGTGTAACAATAATAGATATTCTCAAAAATATTTAAAAATAAAATCGAGATGGGACTCTTGTATAATTTAGTGACTGTTCGCCTATGGTTAGTGCACTGCTGTATGTCCCTGGGTTTTCTACAATAGAACAATACTGCTTCTCCACTCTAGCAGTATTTTTTGCATCTCACAAGATTATATTTATTAAAAAACCAAGGAATTGTTTCGGGCCTATTGCTGTGCCCTTTTCCAACATTCCCAAAGTTTTTTTTTTACTTTCTGCTGATTGGATCTCCGATAGCGACAACTCCATTTACTGTTCCACTAGTTTTTTATCAAATTTTTAAAATAACTTCTATATATTTATCTTTTGCAACGACTTTGCTCACCTGCTTCATAATCTCTTCCCTATGCCCCAATTTCTCCAGGTGAGATCTTATACTCGCTCTATTAAATCAAATTATCATTATAGTTTATTTGAAAATGGTTGGTAGCACAGTTTTTATGGCAAAGGTCCATATTTTTATATAATTTTGCTATTATAAATTTTCAAATAAACTATAGGAATAGGAGTAATCTATTAGTTTTTCTAAAAATACCTTGTTAAGTAAGTATATCTTTCCCTAGTTAAAAAATTCGAGTTTTTATTTTCATAATATAAATAAATGACCGGTTAACAATCACATTCTTTTAAATAGTACATTTGACATTGAAGTAGGTATTTTCTCCATATTGCCAAACAGGAACAGATAATTTACTTGAAATTTGAATTATATTACATAAATCTCACTGAATTTCTTTATAATTCTCATAGCAATATGTACACAAAACACTAATCCAATAATATATATAACCATGTAAAAATAACATTTCAAGAACGAGAAAATTTATAAAACCGGTCCTGTCTGAACAGATCTAGGAAAATCAAATAGGTTTGTCAAAGTTTTGTTCTTAATTTGAAATTAGAAATTGTGCGTCTCACTCACTTATAACTAATAACAAAGTGCAGATTATCGGTGTTCACGTATTACAGAACACACAAACTAAAAATCAGTGTAGCCAAAACATAAATTTACCTAACATGGCGACAAGCTTGAATGGGGTCATTTTTTTGTATTGACAGCATACGCCAAGCGGTATCTAGACTTTCTGAGGGCTATGACTTCAACTCAACTTCACAATAACAATGCAACTGATAACATTAACATGTAACGTCTATCATAAAACTGAAAACTGACGTCAGGATCATCCACATACTTTAATTTTCTTTTGGATCATCCTTATATAGCTTGCTTGACCCTTCTCGAACTGTCGTATAGAATATTCTTGACGGGTAATGACATTTCCAGACTATTCGGGACTATTCTATCTTCTTTTACTTGTACTTTTACTTATGACGATCGCAGCACACTGTAGGGCGATGAGTAACATTCCACTTCTTTTTCTATCTGTACGTTTCCTATAATAGCCGCAGGCTACTGCAAGGTGCTGACATAACTATAGTAAATGATATTTGTAAAATAATACTCAAACATTTTACCAGCAGTAGCCTATAGTGTTACGCTGGTTTTTGGTATCTCAATTTATTTCAACACAACTTTTACAATAACTCAATTCAACTGATACAATAACTCCAACTGATAACAATTAACGTATAACGTCTATCATTAAACTGCCAACTGACGTCAGGTCGTCGACTTATATAGCTTGCCTCGACCTTCTAAAACCTTCTCGAACAATCCGGACTTTTGTTTGACAAGGAATGACATTTGGAGACATTTCTGGATTATTCTATCTTCTTTATTTACTCGTACCTTTACTTATGACGACCGCAGCATGCTACAGGGTGCTGCGTAACACTGCTTCCTCCTCTCTAGTTATCCGCTTCGAATAACTTGATTACTGGGACCTGGCTGGAGCCAATGGGGAGGATCTGGACCATGGTATTGGGCTATCTTTCCACTGTGAACTGCGCTAGATTTACCGCCCGCTGACAGTTGAATGCGGCAGATCAGGTCGTTGATTTTCCTTAAAGGCAGTTCCGTTGCGATTTCTGACAAAGTCCTCCTCGCTGCTTGGGATTGCACCGCCATACCTTGTCGCCCCTCTCAAAATGTGTATCTGCTTTATCGGTGTGGGCTTTCAGTCGTTCCCGAGCGAATCCATAGACCTTTGTTCTGCCATTGCATACATCACATTTTTTACACCAATCCACTACATCCCGTCGGCAATTGACCCAATAAAATCTTTCTCGAACTCGTGCCAGTGTCCTTTTAGTATCAAAGTGTCCTCCTGAACGGCTGCTATGAAGCTCCTCCAATACATTTCTCACCTGCGACCTTGGCAGTATCACTTGGCGGACTACATGTACTCCATCTTCCCACTTCCAATGCAATAGGCCATCGTGAAGATACAGGGAATCCCACTGGGTCCAGTATCCTTTTATAGTTCTACTGTATTTGGCTATCTCTTACCAAGTAGGTATGACTTTATTTTTGAGCCATTCTCGGACAACCTTTAAGTCATTGTATTTCTTCTGTCCCTGTCTCAGACTTTTAAGGGTGATTTCTCCTTCGCCGCCCTCTGGATTGATAGTGGTTGCCCGAAGGGTAACTTTATCAACTGATTCCTCCCGTTCTCCGAGTCCCTTACTGTACTGGCATTCTCGTTCTAAACTGGGTCGCCTGTAGAGAATGTCTGCGTTGCTTACAGATGGCCTCTACGATGCTCTACTTCCTGATTATTGCTAGAAAACCGACTCGGTGTGGGTGATTGGCTACTTCGGGACGCATAGCTGCTGTGACTATTTCTTGTTGGACTTCGTGACGGGCTTCGAAAGATTGATCTTTGTGACTTTCCGGCCTCATTCCCTGATTCTTTATTTATAGAACGAGCTCTTCTATAGGTTCTTTGAAGGTGCCCGATTCTTCCGCAATTGAAGCATCTTCTGTTTTTATTTTGGCTATTTCGTTGTATATTTTGCAGGACAATTAACATTTGCGAGAGGGTAGGTTGGGGAATAGCATTAGCATTGGGGTCCTCACTTTCCTGGGATTTAATTTCTCTCATTTTTGCGCGAGAAGATCTGGATATGAGTTTTGTCGCTTCATATTCCTGGGATGCAATCAATGTCTTCTTCAGCGTCTTGTGATGTTGCAGACGAAGGACTTGCTGCATTTCCGCATCTTGTAGTCCATCAATGAATGCCTCTATTCCGATTTGTTCTTGGAAATCTTTGGGCGCCTGTGGATAGGCCAGATGAATCAATCTTCTTATGTCAGCCCCGAATTCCTGTAGACTCTCATTATGTTTCTGACTACGAATCTTTAGCTGGCTTTGAAATACCCGTTTCAAATGCTGCTGGCCATCTCCAAAGCTTGGACGAGAGATGAATAACTGGGTTCTTCTTGAGGGAGTAACTGTAAAACGGTTGCTGCTTGTCCTCGCAGCGACACAATCAATGCAGCCGCCTTCTCCTTTTCAGCCCAGCCATTGGCTCTAGCTGCAGCTTCAAATTGGAGGCGATACGTTTCCCATGTTGTCTGACCGTAAAACGTGGGTGGCTTAATGATCTTGCTAGTATGGATTTGTGAAACTGGGGGTTGAATATGGCTTGGTTCGATTACAGATGAGGACGAGGTAGTGTTTTCAGCTTCTCTGTTGCTTATCGAAGCTAGGCTACGAATTCTTCTTTCTAACTCAACTAGTTCAGTTCTAATTTGCCTTCTGAACTCTACTCTAGCCTTTTCCTGTTGTTTTAAATTATCTCGTTGTTCTAAATTAGTTTTTAAATGCTCTTTCTTGCTGCTGTTCTAAATTAGTTTTTAAATGCTGTTGTTGTTGTTGTTGTTGTTCTAAAAAATCTACTCTAATTTTAAGCTGACCAATCTCTTGTTTAAAGGTTTCCTGGATTTTTAGCACAGCATTCACAATTTCTACCTGAGCTTTTGTATGTCTCTCTTCCTTCTCCTCTTCTCGTCTTTCCCTCTTCTTTTCTTCTTCCTTCCTACGCCTTCCCTTTTCCTCCTCTTCTTCCTTCCTACGCCTTTCCTTTTCCTCCTCTTCTTCCTTCCTACGCTTTTCCTTTTCCTCTTCTCGTCTTACTCTCTCCTCTTCCATCTTCAAAAACCATGCTGGTGGGCCTGAGGTATCCATGCTATTCATTTAAAATTTTATGGAAATCATGATTTTTCCTTGCTATTTTGTACCTCGTCTTTCAAAAATCAAACTACCGATATTATAAAAAATCTAATACCAGAACAAAATTTAAAAATAAAAATATAAAAAACACTAACTAATAAAATATTAGATTTTTACAAAACTAATGTACCACCCATAGTAGTATATTTTGTGTCAACTCAGTTTTAAATTCTGTGGCGTCCTCTACACTCCATATTTTAGAGCAATAAAATAGCTTCAAAACGTTGGACAAAGATTTAATATAGAAAGAAAAATATCTAAATTTCCAGTATGAAGTTTGCGGTCAAGATTTATAAAAATGAGGCACCATTGTTCCCTCGTTTGGAAAATAAGAACAAAAACGTAAAGAGAGAAAGAGAGAGAGAGAGAGAGAGAGAGAGAGAGAGAGAGAGAGAGAGATAATTTTAAAAATGACATTCAATTATATTGACTTGACTTTTTATTGTAAGTAGCTGATGTAACCTGTAATGAATAGTTATGAGATATGTCAAATATTAAAGCTAAACCTCCCCTGGAAAGGTACCTTTGCAGTTCCCCCATTTGATTGATACACAATGTTACAAATTTAAAAAATTGGTTCCTTGTGATAGGTTAAGCCAAGATTTTGAAATTGTACTTACCATCTACTTCACTCATTAGTCGATCCTTTGGAATTATTTTTACTAGTGAAAATTTAGGCTTTATTTCTATTGGAGGCGAATCTCTACCGCTTTCAGCTTCTACGGAGTCACTAGAATCTAAATCAGGCTCCTGAAAATAAATACAATGATTAAATAGATGTTAGTAGTTCATACATACATACATACATAGCTTCACTGGATACACCCTAACAAGCTTGCGAGCGATTTATTATGTACTATTACGTACGAATTATTTAATTTTAATTCCATTTTTTTAATAGGAGCAAAAAAATATATGCTGCAACTGTCACCCTGTATAAAAAAACTACATAATTACATTTTTCTATTTTTATGTATGAATCACCTTCTATATTAGTAGGTACTGTGTCCAACGGTTCAACATACTATAATAGTTGAAATAATTGCACAATCATATTATGGATAATGCTTGTTATTTTTTTAAAGTTTTTTAAATTGTTTGATTGTCCCCAGCGTGATATATCTGTTTATTACACGACCAGTTAATTTCCATAAATCATTTTGATTATTCTGTTAAAAATGCATAATGTAAAACAAAAGTAAATTACAGGATGTAGAAGAAATTCAATGGAAGTAATCGTCAAATTTTAACATTTAATGAAAGCTTAAATAAATTAGTTGAAAAAGCTTTATAGAAATAACATCATATTCTTGCCCACAGCAATTATTTTTGGTGATTATAGGTGACTCATTTTAAAAAAGACAAATTCAAATATATACTACTAATAAAGATTAACTTGTATGTAATTTATATCGCTTGTAAGCAAGTGTCAAGGTACCATTTCGGTAGGCGCGACAGACGACCGCCGACGCGACATACGACCGCCGACGCGACAGAGAAGTGTCGCTTCACATCTAAAATACATACAATTATATGAAACACATTTCGCACGGCGCGACACGAGAAGTGTCGTCAGACGACACTTAATCTGACTCGGGGCAAAGGTTTGCTGCCTGTCGCACTCGAGGTCACTGTCCTCGAGCATCGCTTCATCGCTTGGAGGTGAATAGGTTGAAAATTTCTTTCGATCTAGGCAGTGTTGCCAGATTTTGAAACAGTATGGGTGAAAAAAAACCGTAGATCTGAACAGTAGATTTTAATACAGGGGGAAATAATTAAAATTTGCAGTGTAGTAAATAAAAAAACAAGTATATAAGAAACGAAATATAAACTTTTTTCGACCCAAATTAGAAGGTAAACAAAGAATAAACACAAATAATAACATTTTTAATATATACTTAACGTACGGAAACAATGAAAAATAATAGGTACCTACTTCTTTTAGATCAGTCTGAATCAGATAATTCAAAATCGTAGTGTGCATGTTCTTTTTATGATGCCCTATTAATTCTTTGTTTCATTTTAAATAAAAACAATGATTATCTTGATGTTTTTTTTTATGGAGCCAACCTAGAGTAGTGGATGCTTGTTACGCTGCTTTTACTGCAGAAAATTTACTAGAGAAAATATTCTTTAACCATTTGCTGAAGAATGAGGCAAACTTAATAAAGTAAGAACAAAATTTGCTAGAGACAAAAACAGTGGATCTACGTGAAAACAGTAGGTCTGGCAACGCTGATGGTTCCCTCGAATGGTTATCCTGTAAGTGTCGCGCGACACTTCTCAAGCTTGCGAAATGTACCAAGCGTAACATTTATGCATCTGTCGTCCTACTCGACCTTGGGGTCGCTTCAGTGGTCGCTTATCTCTTGCCGCGCTTACCCAAATGGTCCCTTTAAAAATGGAAATCGTTAATATTTACCTCTATTTCGGGCTCTATAATAACAGGTGACGCACTTTTTGCCTTTTGCCACACCGTCCTCATGTACAACAACGTATTATCCCTTGAAATCAAACTACCGAAAATATGTTTGTCTTCACTAGTGGCAATGCCGACTGCATTAGGTATTATTCTAGCTGTTTTTTCTTTGGTAATATCTTCAACTGTGAGTACAGGTATCAAAAGCTACAAAAAATTAAATAATTTTCAATAAAAAAATACTTTTGTCACAAAACTTAATTCAAGCACATTGTTATCAAGTTATCATTATTTGTATTGGGATTACATTATTAATAAACTGTTATTTTAGGAACAAATTTGCTGTGTATTAATAGTGGTATTCGTTTATTGTGTATTTTTTCATTGAAAAGTGCCAAAAAAATTAAATAGTCGCTGTAAGGAGCTAGTTACTTCTTTAATAGAATATTTTCAGATAGAAAGTTATAATAATGGTCCTATGTTACCTTTAGCAGCTATAAAAAAAGTAACTACTGTTGAACAATGTAATTATTTTATTTTAGCGTGTAGCACTTAACCTCGAGCTATCTACTGTTAGTTTGTAGAAAGCGGATTATATGCAAAATGCAAATTTATGCATATTTTAGTAAATTTCAGAAAATATTGCATTTTTTGAAAAACGGTATTACTGTGCATATTAGGGAAGATTTTTCACCAGAATATACAAATTTAGCATTTAGCTAGCAAGGGATTGTGCATTTACCTACTTAAGGGTATTGGCGAGGGTCTTTTATATTTCTTTATCAAACTCTGTCTAACGTTATTTTTATTAAATTTAGGTTTTTAACCCCTCTCACATGGGATTTTTAACTTCCTCGTTAGATTTTACATTTGTCAATTTTCTCGGTCAGCTTCAGTCGACGGAGGCAGGCCAAGTTTAAAAACAAGATCACTGATCCGCTAGTTGGGATCAAATCTTGATAATCTTCTAAACTCCTTTTTATTATTTTTTATTTTTGTTGGATTTTATATAATGATGATTGTTGTAAAGTGATAGAAAGTCCTCTGACAAAAGAGTATCGCATTTATAGTTACAGTTGCACATGTCTTCTTATTTCAGTTGCGCTTTGTTGTTGCTTAGCAGCGTAAACTTTATTAAGGTGTGTTTACACGAATACAAAAAGTCACTTTGAAAAGATTTAGATATAGAACAATTTATTTTCGTACTTTATAAATTTCCCAGCTGAACATTGGTTTATAGGCGTTTTTAGAGTTTTTAAAGAGGTGCAAATTCGTGAAACAGATTCTTTGTTAAAAAAAATATATTATAACAAGAGAGACAGAAAATATTTATTGAACCTAGATTAATAATATTTGGTTCTAGATGAGAAACATCTAATTGCTTGTATTTTTCCCAATCAAAAACAATTTTGTTTTTATTGTGTCTTACATAATTGTTCCACTGAGTATCGGTAACATTATTCAAAGCTTCTGACCAAGTTTGATATACATCTTCCGGTGACGACTTTATTGTTAAAATTTTTTCGTCACACAAACGTTTGCAATGTGACCACACCATCTCTATCGCATTGTACTGGCAGTGATATGGAGGAGTTCTTAATACTTTATTTATGCCTATATTCTTCCATATTTCCTGCAACCATTTTACCATTTTATATTTTGACCAACTATAACATGGAATTGGTTCCACGTACCGCGAATGAATACCATTATCAATTATAATCAAAGAAGGATGTTCCAGATTAGGAATAAATTTCGTCTTATACCATATTTCAAATTTTTGTATGTTCATATTATGATGGTAACCCCCCTTTTAATTTGATTTTTAAATATGAGGTCTGCATTTTTATAAACCCTTTTTCATTGCCACCATGGACAATTATGTATCGAATTCCATCTTCTGTTTTTTTTTTACTTGCAGTAGCCATCGTTCCATCTTGCCAACTTTTTTTGTCACTTCCCTTGCTATATATACCCACGTCTCATCCATAAATACAGGCTTTTTTATCCTTATCTTTGTCAGTTATAAGAAGGTAGAGTTAGGTTAGGCCCAGAACACTGCGGCCTCTTAGGTCGATTGTATTCCCCTGCTTTACCCGTATTCAGGTATTATCTTTGGAAAATACAGGCTTAAAGTTACGCAGCTATATCTCCTTGTTAAACTTTTTTCCCTTCTGGTCTGTTCAGGGTATTATCTGTACTGATGAGCATGTTCCTTCCAGTTATATTGTTTCTGGTGATTTCTTTTGAAACATACTGGCACTATTGCTCACAGTCTATTTTATGTTTAGGTTTAAGGATCTGGAGTATATTCTACATCCTGACCCTTGTTTTGTTTTAGAACCGTCGGTGTAGATACGAATCGTACCTGACAATTCCGGCTCTTCTATTTGTTCTGTTATTTTATATGACTTATGGCAGATATATCTTGGTGAGATGGAGTCCATGTTCGCTTGAAGCAGTGGGTGCGTATCGAGCGCCTCCTGCCAAAAGCGACGTCTCGCTTCACCGGATTCTACATCAGGTTCTATTCCAACCGTGCAGAGGCGTGTCACTGTCATCAAAGCAACCTCCTTGATGTAAATATCAAGGGGGATGAGACTAAGAATGACTTCCGTGGCTCTGGTCGGTGTTGTTTTCATGGCTCCTGTTATGTTGGGATATGCTGTTCTTTGAATTTGTTCTAGTTTACGGATAACTGTCAGTTTTTGGGTTTTCGGTACCCAAACAACTGCACCGTATGATAGCATAGATCTTACGATATCCATGTAAGTCCTAGCGACGACTCTGGGGTGAAAACCCCAGGTGCGCCCCACGGTTCGGCGGCATTGTTCATAAGCAATGTATGCGCTTTTGACTTTGTCAAAGGTGAGACGTACTCTGTTGCAAAGTTTAGTTTTGTGTTTAGTTGTCCCCTTGCTATATACCCACGTTTCATCCATAAAAACAGACTTAAAGTTATCCAGCTCTATCTCCTTGTTGAAATTTTTAAAAACGACATTTGTTGTAATTGAATCGATGTTCGTAGGAATAAAAACTATCTGTTGTTACTTCTTTTAAAGCGGAAGCTAATTTTTCGAATCCATGTATTAATTGACCGTGCAGAACATTTCATCAGACATTTCTTCCGAAAATCGTTTATGTAACGTTTTCATTATAACATGTTGCGCACCTTCGTACATCTTAACTTGCCTCAACTTACTTAATATTAAAGAATTGACTTTTGCTTAGACAATATTTTCACATACTCTGTATCAGAATTTGTTGGTTTACTAAGTCTATATAGTTTTCTGCGAAATATTCAATGCCTCTGCAGCCATTTGATTGTATCTCGCAAATAGATTTGTGTCTCTTTAAATAGGAAACTACGCTTGGGAATAAAGTTTTTGATTTATCACTAAATCGTTTCACCATTTTATTAAATACTTATAAAAACTTTTGAAATATGCAATGTTTTTACAAATTTACAAAACATGATGTAATAATTAATCTAGTAACTTTTTGTTTCGTCCATTTTACATTTAAACAATAAAGAAAGCGAATGCGATATTTCAAGGATATTTCCGAGACTTTACTCCAAATCACTTTATATACCTGATGATAACCTCCTTATAGTTCGAAAGCGCTTGCAATGCAACCTATCAATTTAATCAAATAAAGATCCTGTGGTCGACAGACTTTGTGTGTTTCCCTTTCTATTTTTTCTACTTCGGACCACTTTGAGATATGTATAATATTTGGAATTTATAATTCTCTTTATTACCAGGACAAAAAATAAATTCGTGAAAATTTCGCATCTATTTGTGCAGATCCTGTTTTAACAATAAAACCCAGCATGTATTTAGTTTTTATAAGATCTATGACTACAAACAATCTCTCTAATTATATCTGACTTACCTTTGTGACGTACCCAAAAACATTTGAATAAAAGGCGAAATAGTTTTTGGTGATATAGAGATGGCCCTGCAGAAGAATGTCTCCTATAAGTGCACAGGAATAGTGATTTAATACTTTTTCGTCCTCTTCGACGTTAGGAAAATGGCGTAGGAATTTTTTCTGTCGCGCTTTCGAGGTGGTGTGAATCTTGGGATCTTTGGTGGTCTTAGGACTAGGGGGTTCCGTGACCTGCGCCTGCGCAGTCATTACGGGCGTCGACGTGGATAAATGTTTTAGAGAAACTCTGCAACAATAAAAAAAATGGTTTAATCAGTTGGGTCAACAAATTATTGTCACGCTTCGTATAAACTTATATTTTGTTCAAATTTTAATTTAATACTTAAATACCACCCTGTACATAAAACTTTGTTTAATTATAACGTGCATTTTTTAAAATTTTGGTTCCACTGACTGTTAATTCTAACTAAACTTTTAAAAATATTTCACATATACCTACGTTTTTACTGTGTTTATTAAATATTGTTTGCAAGTCATAACAAAGTAGTTTAAGAGGAACATAGTACCTTATTCTCGTAAAAACCAGAACAGCTTAAAATAGAATACAACGAACGTTTTAATTTACAGTGATTGAGCATATACATTCAGTCAAAAAGAGTCTCACCACATTTCAACATTGGCCGGAAATATATTGCTGAAATTCAGCACCTTTTTATTAGTGAGGGCTGGGTGCATAGGTTTTGAGAACACTTTATTTTTAATACGATTTTCGTGGTCTTATTTTACTATCATTAAAATACAGATAAGCAAATACATGTTCTACTACTTATTCTAGAAATATATTTACAAAAGTTTAAAAACTATTTAATTTAGATAAACATAACGAACAAAACGCACTCAAAAAAAAAATACTGTCACTGTAATAATTGTCAATGGAACCAAAATTACGTGATCACTAACTTAACGTATAATCAAAGAGGTTAGAAAGGGTAGAGGTAACATAGGAAGCATTTGTCACTGCGCGAATTTTGCCAAAACCGAAAAACTGGGTGGAAGGAGTAGGGAGATGTTCTGGGCCGGACTTAAATATTTGTATTGTAGTACCTAATTTTGGTAGGTAACTAAAAGATGAAAAATTATAACACGTTTTTTTGACTTTATTTGTCAGCACGATTCATTTATGATGAGGGTAATAACACTTTATCAATATATAACTAGCTAAGGGGCGATTCCACCGTTGTGTCAAACGAAGTTTAAATTACTAAGTGAAGATTAAAATGACATTGTTAATGTAAAAATGTCATTTTAAACTCCATTTAGTAATTTAAACTTTATTTTTGTTAATATAAAAATGTCATTTTAATCTTCGTTTAGTATTTTAAACTTCGTTTAACAAAACCGTGAAATCGACCCTAAGTAGAAGTTTATAAAATTATTGTAACAAAATACCTGTTGAGACAAAAAGTTATCGAAACAGCCAAAGTACTTTTTGCCGAATTACACACAAGATTTTTTCTACGATCACACCAAAATAAAATTAATAATTAAATTTTATTAGAAATGGGTTACCTTTTCGTTCGTTATATTTTAAGTTTATTTGACATAAGCCTATTCTTCAAAGAAAAAAAAAATGTTTTGGTACTTATATACCGGTAATTATTTATGATTTAATTATTTACGGAAAATACCGTTCAATGATTTAAAATATTAGGAAGTCAGTTAATAGCTATTTGTGTAACCGGTTACGAAATGCCTTATTTTGTGTATCGAGTAAATATTTTCGGGACGAGCGCAGCGAGTTGCACAAAACGGCATTTGGTAACGTGTTTACATACAAGATTTTTTCTAATTTTGTCTTGATTATTTATAAAATTGTGTTAAAAAATAATTCATCAGCATTCTTTTGTAGGTACTTCCAATCCAATATTTCAGAAAATTGTTATATTTGATTGCCCTACGACGTTTTTTTTTTTTTTTTCAATAATAATAAAAATAAGGAACATGTGCAGTGTTGTCGATCTGATTTTTGAGATTACCCGCGAGAAATTTGAAAAAAAAACATTATCCTTAAAGGAGTACATCAAAATTTTACCCCCAACATTTCTGGGCAGTTTTCAATAACGGTATTCGGCCTTTTTTTCGATATTTGTTTTTTTCGATTTTTGTTTTTTTGGATTTTTAGATTTTTTATTTTTCGATTACTCGATTTCTCGATTTTTCGACTAACAAACCAAAAAAGAGGCAGTTTTATTTATTTTCATTTCGTAACTGGTGACATAATCAACTTTTCGTAATCAGTTGCATAATGTTCTACTTTATAAAATATATTACTTTATATGTCAAAATTAGAGAAAATAAAATATAATTAAATGGATAGATCCCATATTATTATAGAGCAGTGTTTCTCAAACTTTTTTGGGGACGGAACCTTTTTGAAAAGCGAAATATTTGACGGGGCCCTCAACAAATTAAACACATAATTTAAAAAATATTTTTCAAATTTTTTTCTTCAATTTGACTCTCATTTTGACTTTCAAGGTAAACGTGATAAAAAATCGGCTTCATATTATGCTCCGATTTTACATATTATTCAATTTTATAATTGTAATTTGACAATATTACTGCCCATCTACGTAGTCTGTTGGCTGAAAATTGGGGTATACCTTTAGCTGGGTTAAAAATAGTTACCAGAGGTAAGTAATCTGTGACTAGGATAAATAAATGTCTATATGACTATTCATTAAATTTATTTAAGCCAAAAATTATTGGAAGGCCCTCTCTTTCAATTTGGGAATATTTTTGTTCTGACTTTGATAAGGTACGCGATGCAGAAGCTATAGATTTCTCAATATTTTTTTAAAAACATGACATATGGCCCTTATTCCCACATTTGATGCATCTACGATTAATTTAATCGGCAACTCAGGCTGAAAATGCATAAGAACATAATTTGTTGTTAATTTATTTTTGATTAATTCCAAATATTCCTTGCAAGAATTATCCCAAATCCATTTCGCCCATAAAAATAAAATAAAAGTCCTAAAGCAAAATCATATCCTCCTTCCTCTTAGTGACTTAAAAAAATTATTTCTCAATAAAAAAGGTCCTCAAGCCAGGTCCCTCCATTTTGTGGCGATAGTACTGTTTTTTTTTTAATATGATTATTTTCTTCGCGGAGTCCTCACAAAGGCTTTGCGGAGCCCCAGGGCTCCACGGAGCACACTTTGAGTAACCCTGTTACAGAGAAATACTAAATAAATAGTTTTGAAAAAACTATTGAAACCAGTTGTGAAGTTTGAAACGAATAAATTGGCAATAAAATTGATATTTTTGTATTTGATTGTATGTTTCTCTTTCCACTTCCTGAAAACAGATTCACCATGAAACAAGAAATAGTAAACAGTTTATAAAAATAACCTTTATTTGCTACTTATAACATGTACCAATGACCAAGTCCGATTCTGTTTATTTTCAAATCAACAAATATGGACGACGACAGAATCTTTAAAAATTAAATATCTCACCGAAATAAATATAAGTTTCTTTTATCTCCGTCACATTTCGCACTTTTATTATAAATAAAGCTTTATACAACACATCTTGGCATTTTAAACGTTAATTTCCAAAATTTAAGTCACTAAAATACCAAATTAATTCTCGTTGACACATTAAATTTGGATGGACAACGCTCTGACATGTGATGTTTTTAACTGTGATTGGTGGGTGTGAATAATTTCGAAATGGGATTATGCGCAGTGTCTTATGTTCCATCTAAGGTTTGTATAATCTAAGCGTATAATATACAAACGATGGAAAAATTATAAAGGTAATCTCGATTATGTGTACAGGGCTTTTTTTCCATAAGGCAGGATCCAGATCACAGAGACTCCGTCGGGGGCTTTGGAAAGTTAAAGTTAAAAGTAAAAGTAATTTTTTGTCGGTATTTTCCTTAAACTGTATTGGTTATTTGAGAGCATGTTATATTTATTAGGAAGAAAGGTAATTTTATTTTTTATAATTTTTCAAAAATGTTTCCTACACTCGAGATTATAGATATAGGTCGTCGATAGTTGATAACATCTAATTTATTCCCTTTCTTATACACTGGAATTATCATTGCTTCTTTCAGACAATCAGAAAACTTGCCTTCACTTATTGATTGATTGATAAGGAAATCAATAACAGGAGATATTTCATGACATAATTCTTATAAAATTTCCGAAGTAATATCACTACCAGGTTGTGTTATACAGGGTGTTTCAAAAAGATTGGTCATAAATTATACCACATATTCTTGGGTCAAAAATAGGTCGATTAAACCGTACTTACCTATATACAAAAGTGCACCCAAAAATAGTTACAGGGTGTATAAGATAAAAATTTAAATGAATTTTTTTAACGTTGCCTTTAAACCGTTTGGCATTTTTTCATGAAATTTTATATGACGTGTTAGAATACCATGACCAATAATACCGAGGAAGAGGCAATATTTTTTTTATGATTTTTATAGATTTTTGGAGGGGGTCACCGCTCTTTTCTCCACTCAACTTTTTTGTAGTATACAATTTAATTACAAATGATACGCCACTGGAATGCAACATCCATTTGGAAAAATTTTTGTTTGTTAGTATTTGTTTGTAAAAAGTTTAGTTTAGACGATACAGCCATTTGAAATGACAACTTAAAAATATTCAATGGTAATTCTACGTATGAAAAATATCAAAATCAAGTTTATTTTTAAATTACAAACTAATGTCATCAAAATAAAAAAAATTATTTAACAGGTGTTCAAAATTACATTCTCCTCCTGTATACACTTACTATATAGTTTTAACAATGAAAATCGAATTTTCATATTTTTGCATACGTATAATTTACATTGAATATTTTTAAGATGTCATTTTAAGTGGCTGTATCGTCTAAACCAAACATTTTACAAACAAATACTAAAAAACAAAATAGTTCCCAAATAGATGTTGCGTTTCAATAGCGTTCGATAATAAAATTTTATATTACAATAAAGTTGAGTAGAGAAAGGGGCGGTGACACCGTCCAAAATCCTACAAAAATAAAAAAAAATATATTGCCTCTACCTCGATTTTGTTAGGTCATGGTATTCCAACACGTCATATGAAATGTCATGAAAAAATGTCAAACGGTTTAAGAGGCAACGTTAAAAAAATCCATTTAAATTTTTATCTTATACACCCTGTAACTATTTTTGGGTGCACTTTTGTATATAGGTAAGTACGGTTTAATCGACCTATTTCTGACCCAAGAATACGT